TGTGTGTGTGTGTGTGTGTGTGTGTGTGTGTGTGTGTGTGTGTGTGTGTGTCTTTATAAGTGTTCTTGTTTTCACTCAATCATTTATTCATCCATTCATTCATTCATTCAATCATTCAGTCAATCATTCACTCAATTTACTTATTCATTTATTTTTGTTTGACTTCAGGTCTTTTAAATTTTTGCTGGATACAAATTCTGTTTTTCCTCTATTATTTTCATAAGAAAAATCCCCCACATGATGTATGTTTACTGGCGTCTTTTAAAAATATTTTTTTTAAATATTTATTTTAGGGATTAATGGACACCGGTGTTTGTGGCGTAGAGGTTAAGCACTTCGTTGTCATACTCTGAAGACTTGAGTTCAGTTCTCGTGTGTATCCCTCTCAGCTCGAGTGGGCCCTGAAAGGCATTGTTAAAGCCCACCTCCATAATGATAGTATATTTTTATTTCACCAACAGATGGGTAGAACAGTACTTTTTTTTTTAGATTTATGGTCTACCACACACAAAATAGAATAGGCAGAATCACAAGGTTGACAGTTTTAACTGATTTGCTTTTTACTAGACCGGACCCTCAGTACTCCTAATAGCGCGTCGGTGGTGTAACAGTTGTACCCGGTTGCCACCAATTCGCAAGATCGGTTCTGTTCGGTTCGGTCGTCGGGGCCAGCCAGATTTTCCTACAAAGAGGGGGGAAAAAAGCTAACATCGTGGCACCGACCCAACGAAACGGACGATGACTTTTTTTTTTTTAACGGGTTTTTGTTTTCAAGGCTGAAAGTCGTGCGATCATTGTGAGGCAGGGGTCTATTGCACGGGGTGCCCATTGAGGCATCAGCAAACCGATTGCCCGACTCGTGGCCTAAAAACAAATTAATATTTTTGAGGCATTGAGTCGGGCGATCGGTTTGTGCCACGATAGCCGCTTTGCCCCCTCAATCTGGCAAGCAACCGAATCGAACCGAACCGAGCCGTATTAGTGGGCACTGAAGCCGTCCGAAACCGAACTGAATCGAATCGAACAGAACCGAACAGAACCGAACAGAACCGAACAGAACCGAACAGAACCGAACAGAACCGAGCCTCCAATGGTCATCGCTTATAAGGCGTTTCACTGTCGCACGCGGGAGGCCCGATTTTATTGAGTATTTCAGTTTTTCTTCTGGAAAGGAGTATCTCTATCAGCCTGAGTTCGTCCTGATAGACAGGGACAAACGCCCGCCTCCTAAATGTTCTAAATTGTGTCAATCAGGACGTAAAATACCCGAAAAAAGGCGTACTTAAAAAGACTAAAAAGATTAGGATAGAAAAGAATTACGAAGAAAAATTGCAACTCCATTGTAGCTTGTGAGTAGTACTATGTTGTTCGATAGAGTTTTGTCCGACTTTCCTAGGAAATTCCTCTGGACACAATTATTCCCCTTCTCTTTCATTGGTTGTTTCGGTGGCTTTACTCGAAAAGCGTCAGAGAGGACAAAAAAAGTATATCAACATTTATCAAGTCTAAATAAAAGAGGACCGAGGGCTCTCGTGGCCTAAGAGGTTACGGTGTTCGCCTCTCATTCAATAGATCACGGGTTCGAATCCGGACAGCGACGGGAAATTTTCATTAATACCAGTACCAGTATCACTTTTTTACTCTCAGGATGACAAAGAGGAGCATGAGGGAGTGGAAGAAGAAGAGGAAGGAGGGAAGGAGCAAGGAGCGTACGGCCACCACGCTCACGGTCTGACGGTACTCACAGCGTCAGTCTTCATGATAGGCGAAATGGCCGGCTCAGGGATTCTAGCTCTGCCCAAAGCTGCAGACGGCACAGGTAAAACAAAGTCTCTCTGTCTCTCTGTCTGTCTGTCTGTCTGTTTGCCTGACTGTTTATCTGTCTGTCTGTTTGCCTGACTGTTTGTCGGTCGGTCTGTTTGTCTATCTGTCTGTTTGTCTGTATGTTT